TCAAACTATTCCAAAATATTCAAGAAGAGGGAAAACTCTGAAGCTCATTCTATGAGACCAGTATTATCTGAATTTCAAAACCAGATAAAGAAAAAAAAAATTATAGGACAATATCTCTGATGAACACAGATGCTAAAAATCCTTAACAAAATATTAGCAAATCAGATCCAGCAATACATTTAAAAGATCATACAAAATGACCAAGTGAGATTTATTCTGAGGATGTAAGGCTGGTACAATATTCACAAATTAACAAATGTAATGCCTTTACATAAACAAAATGGAATATAAAAACTATACCATCATATCAATAGAGGCAGAAAAAGCATTTGATAAAATCCAGCACCCATTTATGGTTAAAAAAACAACAACAACACACACACACACACAAAAAAAAAGCAAAAGAAACAACGACAACATACAAATCTCAGCAAAGCAGGAATAGAGGGACCATAGAGCAACATAATAAAGGCCATATATGAAAAACCTACAGCCAACATCACATTCAATGGGAAAGACTACAGATATTCCCCCAAGATTGGGAATATCACCATTCTTATTCAACATAGTGCTGGAAGTTCTAGCCACAGTGATCAGAGAAGAAGAAGAAATAAAGATATTCAAATTGAAAAGGAAGAAGTAGAACTGTCATTATTTGCAGATTACACATTACTGTATATAAAGAACCTTAAAGATTCCACACACAAAAACTACTAGAACTGAAAAATAAATTCTGCAAAATAGCTGAATACAAAATAAATACCCAGAAATCAGTTGCATTTTTGTACATCAATAATGAACTATCAGAAAGAGAAGCTAAGAAAACAATTTCATTCAAAATTGCCCCCAAAAGAATAAAAAACCTAGGAATAAATTTAACCAAGAATGTAAAAGACCTATACTCAAAAAATTATAACAAACTGAAGAACAAAATTGAAGAAAATACAAATAAGTTGAAACATATACCATGTTCATGGATAGGAATAATTAACATCATTAAAAAGTCCATTCTACCCAAAGCAATCTACAGATTCAATGCAATTCCTATCAAGATACAATGGCATATTTCACAAAACTTGAACAAATATTCCAAAAATTTATATTGAACCACAAAAGATCCCAAATTGCCACAGCAATCTTGAGAAAAAAAGAATAAAGTTAGAGGAATCTTTCTACCTGATATCAAACTATACAAGACTAGAGTAATCAAAACAATATAGTACTGGCATACTGATCAATGGAACAGAATAGAAAGCCCAGAAGTAAACACATGCCTTTACAGTCAATATTTTACAAAGGAGGCAAAATCATACAGCAGGGTAAAGATAGTCAATTCAATAAATGGTGTTTGGAATATTGGATAGATGTGTGCAAAAAATGAAACTAGACTACTTTCAGACACTATACACAAGAATAAACTCTAAATGGGTTAAAGACTTAAATGTTAGGCTCCAAACCATAAATATCCTACTAGAAAACATAAGTAAAATCTCAGTCATTTCTTGTATCAATATATTTTCTGATATATCTCTTTGGGCAAGGGAAACAAACAAACAAACAAACAAAAACTAAACAAATGGGACTACATCAAACTAAAAAGTTTTTGCCCAGCAATGGAAACTATCAACAAAATAAAAAGACAACCCCCCGAATGGGAGAACATTTTGGCCATACATCCAATAAGGGCTTAATATCCGAAATTTAGAAGGACCTTATAAAACTCAATACCAAAAATTAAAAATCCAATTAAGAAATTGGCAAAAGGCCTGAATAGACACTTCTCCAAAGAAAACATACAGATGGCCAAATGCATATATGAAGGCATGCCCAACAATATTAATCCTCAGAGAAGTGCAAATTAAAACCACAATAAGACATCTTCTCTGTACCTTTCATGTGGAGAAAAGGGAATATAGATTGATGCAGCTACTGTGGAAAGCAGTATGTAGTTACCTCAAAAAATTAAAAATGGATCCAGTGATTCCACTTCTGGAAATATATCCAAAGAAACCCAAAACACTAATTCAAAAGAATATATGCACTCTTATGCAGCATTATTTACAATCGCCAAGATTTGGAAGCAGCCCAAGTGCCCATCAGTAGAAGAGTAGATAAAACACAGTGGTACATTTACACAATGGAGAGCTACTCGCCTTGCCTTTTTTGATAGCATGGATGAACCTGGAAGTATTATGCTAAGTGAAAAAAGCCAATCAGAGAAAGATAAGTACCATATATTGTAATTTCACTATATATGGAATCTCATGAACAAAATAAACTAAAAAAGTGGAGACAGGCTCATGAATACAGAGAACAAACTGACAGCTATCAGAGGGGAGGGAGTTGAGGGCTGGGTGAAAAGAGTAAAGGGATTAAGAAAAGAAAACAGAGAAAGGCTCATAGAAACAGACAACAGTATGGTGATTGCCAGAGGGAAGGGGGCTGAGGAGAGGTAGAAGACGGGAAAGGGGGAATAAATGGTGATAGAAAGAGACTTGACTTGATTTGGTGAACACACAATACAATATATAGATAATGTACTGTAGAATTGTATACCTGAAACCTGTATAATTTTATTAACCAATGTCACCCCCAATAAATTCAATTTAAAAATAAATAAATAAATAAATAAATAAATAAATAAATAAATAAAATAATATGGTAATGGGGGGAAGAACATTTTATGGAAAGAAGGGGATATCATAATCTGTGCAGTGCACTGAGCTCTCTCCCTGCAATCCCAGGCGTTCCAGGCCAGCTTTGCTACTAGAGACCAACTGGACCAGAGTGCCCTTCTTATAGAGCAGGGGTCTTCAAACTACGGCCCGCGGGCCACATGCGGCCCGCAGAGGAGCCTGATCCGGCCCGCCAGGTTTTTTGGGCAGTGAGCGCAGCCGAGGTGTTACAGTAGGAATTAGTAGTTCATATAGTCCGGCCCTCCAGCTCTCTGAGGGACCGTGATCTGGCCCCCACTTTAAAAAGTTTGAGGACGCCTGTTATAGAGCATTTGGGGAACGAAACCTGAAGAATCACCCAAAGTCCTTTCTCTAAAGAAGAGCAGCAGTGGCTAGAGATGTCGCTTTTCGACCACTAGATGGCGGCAGACACTAAGCTTTGTCTTCATCTATGGAGGAAGAAGGCGGTCCCTCCTCAGAAGAGAGGTGCTGATTGGGATTTGAAATACAAGGTGAGAATATTGTTATGAAAGTAGTTGCCACCATTGAATACCAACTCTGCCAAACAACAATGTTGGAAGATTTGAATAATTTATTTAATATAGTTAATGAGCACCTATTATGTGGCTGGCACCAATCCTCTTCATAGTGCAGAGAAAGCAATAAGGAAATAAACATATAATATGTCAAGTAGAGATAAATGCCAGAAGCATGAAGTAAGGTCAGGATGGGGAGGGATATGCTGTTTTATATAAGGTAGTCAGGAAAGCCTTGCTGAGGAGGTGACATTTGACTTATTAGTGCTCACAATGCCATTTTTAAAAATATATATTTTATTGATTTTTCACAGAGAGATAGAAGCTAAAAACATTGATGAGAGAGAATCATCGACCAGCTGCCTCCTGCACACCTTCCACTGGGGATGTGCCTGCAACCAATGTACACGTCCTTGACCAGAATCGAACCTGGGACCTTTCAGTCTGCAGACCAGCGCTCTATCCGTTGAGCCAAACTGGTTTCAGCACAATGTCATTTTATTGAAGGGGAAATGGAAGCTAAGAAATCCACACTAATAATAGACAAATATGTAAATTAATCATTCCTCTGCGATGCCCACAGCCAATCGGGAGTGAATATGCAAATTATCCTGACAAAGATGGTGGGCCTGTGGGCAGTGTGCAAGTGCACAGGTGCTGAGCAGCCAGGGGCGGGATGGGATGCCCACGTACCCTCTGCATAGCCAGGGCAACACTGCAGGCGTCCCCAGGACCCTGTCTGCTTTGAACCTGTGGCCAACGCAAGTGTGCACACCAGCACTGAGTGGCTGGGGTCCCATGATGCCACTGGAGTGTCTGGTCCCGTCAGTCTGACCTGGGGGGGGGGGGGGGGGTGGCTGTAGTTCACAGTCCTTTTGGTTTGTGCAGCCTCTGGACTTGAAGCAGAAACCAGGAGCATGGGGAGCACCAGAAATTCTGGGAGTCCTAGTTCTGGTGGCAGCCCCTGGACCAGAAGGGGAAACCCAGAGCATGGGAAGCACCAGGAATGCTAGGAATCGTAGTTCTGGTAGCAGACATGTTGCAGGATCTCCTAGACCAGTGGTTGGCAAACTCAGTCAACAAAGCCAAATATCAATAGTACAACAATTGAAATTTCTTTTTGAGAGCCAAATTTTTAAAACTTAAACTTCTTCTAATGCCACTTCTTCAAAATAGACTCACCCAGGTCATAGTATTTTGTGGAAGAGCTATACTGAAGGGGCCAAAGAGCCGCCTGTGGCTTGCGAGCTGCAGTTTGCCGACCATGGTCCTAGTCACTAGAGCAAAGTTACTGTTGCAGGTGGGGGATGGAGTGAAAGCAGGGTGAGAGATAAGTAAAATCAGAGTGTCAAGGAAAAATTAAAGGGAAGATGTCCTGCAACTTTAAGAAAATCTCCACCAGTGTAGCAAAGAAAAAAAGAAGAAGGAAAAAAAGGTCTCTATTATTGTGAGCACCAAACCAAACTGAGTTAGGGTCTCAGACAATTTGCTCATATGACTGCAAAGACAGACAGAAACTCCCGGATTAGAGAGGGCTCCCCTGAGGCTCCCAGATGGAGAGGGTGCAGGGCAGGTGGAGGGACTGCACCACGAATCTTGCGCACTGGGGCCCTAGTGTAAAATAAGTTGCCTGTTGGATCCTGGAGGTGGGAATGAGCATGGACAGGGGACAGGGGAGATTGGGAAGAGGTTCAATAACCCCTCCCCTTCCCTGTTAGACAGAGATGTGCCACAAAACCCATGGTGGGAGTCCCTCCCCCACCTCCAACCCTAAAACCGCACCCCTCACCTGTGAAGAAGAACCACAGCACTCCTAGGGTAGTGGCCATGTGCACACCTGTGCCAGGGCTGCCCATCTTCCTCGGAGACAACTGACGGCTGGGCTCTCGGTGGCAGAAGGCTTCCCCTACCTGTGAGAAAGAGGAATGGAAGCCTTTGTCTCAAACGATTCTCTCCAGGCATATTGACCCCATCTCCCCTGGACCAGCGTGGGGCAAGATTGCAACTGCCAGCTGAGAGGTCCTTCCTCCCACACACCCACAAGGCTCTCTGCTGAGGGAATTTTCGAGAGATGCTGGCAGGAACTGAGTCACTGGGGAGGGTAAACCAGGAGAAGTGGCTATGACCTACCCTTTCAGAACTAAGATGCAAGTATAAGGAAGAAGAGGCAAGTAGAGGCAAATAGAGTCAAGGTCAGCCTGCTCAGGGCAAGGATGTGCTCAGATCAGTGTGGGGAGAGGAGCTGAAGTTGGAGCCAGACTTAAGACAGAGACTAAGAGGTCTGGCCTTTACTTTAAAGGCAGCTGGGAGCAACCAAAGATTCTAGAATTGAGGAAAGGATATGGTCCTACTTTGCTTCATAAAGATTATTCTGCAGGCATCTGCAGGACAGAAGTAGAACTGGGTGAAAGATATAGGACTGGAGGGTGTGAAGACAGAGAAAGGGAGCCGTGAGGGGCCCACAGTTTTGTGCCCAGTAACCTGTGGAGTACTCAGACAGAAACGGGTTCCGTGCAGGGCATGGTTTGTGCAGAAACTTCCAGGAGCAAGTTTTGGGAAGCAGCTGGGTGTATGAGTGTGGGGCCCAGAGAGAGGGAACATTTGCTAGTTTCATAGATATTGATTGAGTGACCAAGACAATCAGAAATGGAAGAGGCTGACCTCTTGGGGCTGATCCCCAAGACTGGAGGCAGGACTGAGTGAGAGGTAGGTCTGTGGCCCACTCCAAGTCTCTTACCCAGGAGGACCAGATCTGCAGAAGTACCCTCCAGCAGGTTGTGAAAATTGGGCCACTCCCATTTTATAAAGAAAAATAAAATAAAATAAATAAATAAAATAAAATAAAATAAAATAAAATAGTACTTTCACATTAAAGCCACTGAAGGCTGGTGAGTTATCCTTGCTACAAATTTGCCAAGAAAATGCCTTGGGTAATAATAATTGACTTTAAAATTTCAAAATTGTTAAGACAAAATAAATATAACTAAAATGAAAGGTACATGATAAAGCTTTTTCAGTGATAATTATATGCCTAAACATAGTTTTCCAAAGTCTTTGGTAACTTAAAATTTTTGTAGTTTTCTAATAGATTGAATAGTAAAAAATTATTAAATATCTAGGTATTTTGAAATAACAGTGTTGGGTCTAATCTAATAAATGAATTAATACTCTCTCCCCTGGGAACTGTCCTTTAGGCCACTTCACAATAGACATTCCCTTTCACTTAGACCCCACATTCCATTTTGCCAAGACCACATTCCACTTGCTAAGACCATTATCCTTCCCTCTGAACCTTCCTAGGATCCAGACCTGCCCAGAGAATTCTCCGCCTAGAAAAAGCCTTCCTACAGTCCTTTAAAATCTCTGACTCCCTGTCTTTGGATTCTGGCACCATTTGGGGGCTCAGCCCATCTGGTATCCAGATGACCTAATGAGTTTATAATCCCTTACCACTTTGGCCTTGTGCATTCCTCCTTTGGTGACCCTAAAATTTGATGCTGAAGCCTGGGAGGGTTCCACAGGGAATGAGAGCCATCTAACTGGCTTCAGTCACCCTATGTTTGCTATTCATAGAGCAGTAGGCATCAGCAGCTCATCCTGGGTTTACCTCCAAATCCTATTTGGATGACTCAATTGTTGGCCTCAATTAGGCCTCCCTCCCTTATGGGCCCTCTCAAACCAGCCAAGGAGGACGCTAGATTGGGAATCTCTCTTTCTCCATTGCTGACCCTCCATCCCACACTGGCCAATCTAGGTGAGTAACCTGCCACAATTTCCTTTGAGTTTTGACCACTCACTCTCACTGACTTCTCAAAAGTATCTTGTCTCAAAAGTCCTAGCACTAGGCCAGAAGACTCCTCAGCCATTTAGCTTTAGGTCCTTCCCTAGACCTGAGGGTCACCCCCTCATTTCTCATGGTGATTTGTTTAGCAGCAGGGACACCTTCCCTAAACAGTATCTGAGGGGATAGTCCAAGTCCATGTCCCATTTTATATGTCCGACCTCACACAGATTGCAAGGCATCTCAGGTCTTTTTCCACTGATTCCACCACATTTATTAAGGAATTTAAGTATCTGACCCAGTCCTATGACCTGTCCTGGCACGACATCTGTGTCATTCTTTCCTCCTCTCTCACCCCAGAGGAGAAGGAGCACATTTGGCTAGCAGCTCAGGGCCATGCTGATGCTCTCCATAGACAGGATTCTGGTTGGCACTGGCATGGTCCCTCAAACTAACCCAAGGTAGCACTGTCAAGTTAATTCTCCAGGCACCAGCCCTGTAGCCATATTGCCGGACTCAAAAAGGCTGCCTGTAAGGCAGTCAACTACAACAACTTAATAAAATCATTCAGGGTTCTGATAAAAATCCAGCTCTCTTCCTCTTGCCTCATGGAGGCCTTACAGAAACTTATCACCTTAGACCACACCTCCCCAGAGGGAACCTTCTTCTGAACATCCATTTTATATCCCAATCAACCCCAACAGACACCACAAACTTCAAAAAATAAACATAGGTCCACAAACATCTCAAAAAAAGCCTCATTAACCTGGCCTTTAAGGTCTTCAATAATAGAGACGAGGAAACCCAAATACAAAAACCAAAGTGAGATCGGGTCAAGGCTGAGGCCCAGAACAAGGCCTTCCAGCTCCTACCCACTGTTCTCATGAGCCCCAAATGAAGTGCTAGTCCTCCACCCAAGGGTAAGTTAGGGGCTAAGCCTTCTCCTGGTCCATGCTTCAAATGCAACAAAGAAGGAGACTGGGCCAAGTCCTGCTCAAACCCAAAGTGTGAAAGGGAAGACCACTGGAAATCAGACTGTAGTCTGTCCTCTCCAGGTCAGACCTCAGCCAGTCCAGAAAAGGCACCCTCTGGATCTGGTTTGGAGCTTCCTGACCTCCTGGGACTGGCCACTGAAGACTGAAGCTGCCCAGGCCCTGACAAGACCCCATAGACTTACATCACCAGGACAGAGCCTCGGGTAATGACTGTGGTGGCAGGTAAGCCAATCTCCTTTTAATTGACTCTGTGGCCACTTATTCTGTCCTCCCAAATTTGCTGGGACCCTTGTCCCCTCCTCAGTCTCCATTATGGGGTTTGAGGGACTAGTCTCACAGCCATTAGCCACCTCACCCCTGAAGTGCATCTTACTCTTTATCCACTCTTTTATCCACTCTACTTCAGTGCCCAACAAGGGCTACCATGCATCCCCTCATAATTCCCAATTGTCCCGAACCACAGTCACCCACCTCAGTTTCACTCTCACCCCACAAAATCCAGCCATTACCTTAAAATGTAAACATGTTATCTCCTCCAAACAAGAAATAATTTCCTTTCTCGGACTTGCTGAGTACTTTCGTCCCTTGGTTCCCAACTTTAGTCTTCTCGCAAAGCTCCTCTATGACAGGGCAAAGGATCCCTCACTGAGGCTTTAGATCCCAAGGCCAGCATTTTACCCTTTTAATGTTCTGAAAACTGATCTCACCTCAATGCCTTCTCACCTACACTTTCCCCAAAAATTTCTTTACTGCAAAACTGAAAATGCTTACTTACCAGTCCTGCTAATATCAGAAGTTGAATCATTATCACCAAAACCTTAATATGTGGCAGCTTTAAATCCAAGGGGCTGTGGACCTGCTCCCTCTACCAGGCGTCCTCAAACTTTTTAAAGTGGGGGCCAGATCACGGTCCCTCAGAGAGCTGGAGGGCCGGACTATATGAACTACTAATTCCTACTGTAACACCTCGGCTGCACTCACTGCCCAAAAAACCTGGCGGGCCGGATCAGACTCCTCTGCGGGCCTCATGTGGCCCGCGGGCCATAGTTTGAAGACCCCTGCTACCCCATGCCTTTTATCCAGCCTCATATGCTTATACATAAGTTTAAAAAAAAAAAAAAGTCTTTGGTCATTTAAAGGCTTTGGACCATTGCTGGGTTAAATGATAAACATCTAAATATTTTAAAATAACAAAAAATACTGAAACATTAATTGCTAGACAAGTTTTAAATTTGCCTGCACTTAGCTTTTATTACAGATGTTTCTTATACTTTGTGGAAGGTATATTTTCTTAGATGTAAGAGTGTGTTTAAAGTGTGTTCATAAATATCAATCTGAGAAATGCTGGTTGTTTTACTTTTTGGCTAATGATGGTTATTTATGAATCAGTAGAAAAGTTTGTGAAAATTATAGAAAAGTTTGTCCAGAAAGTCAGGACCTGATCATCCCTGATGACCAAAGGGACCCCTTCTCTCTTAGTAAGCTAAAGCAGCCTCACCCAGGCTCTCTCCTGTTGCTTATGTCCCTAGATCAGAGCCTAGACTTTCATTTCCACTGCTCATTCACAGTCCTTGACACTATCACTGAAAGGCACAACAAGTCTTCCTGCTTGGCATTTAGGACCTTCTCTCCCCTTTCTAGCCTTCTTAAAAGTCATACACTGCAAAGGACACCAAGTCAGGAATGATCCCATAACACAGGGAGATGACCAAGCAGGCCAGAAGGCCAAGGCAGCAGCTCAGAGGAAGCCTCCATCACCCCAGCTCTTAGCTCTACCCATCTAACACCCAAATACACTCCAGAAGAACTTCAGTTATTAACTCCTGGGACCACTCAGGAAGATCCCTGGTTAAAATTTCAGGGAAAATATGTCCTTCCCCAGGGACTGGCCCATGATATCTTACAGGCTACTCACAATTCCCTACATATAGGATACAGACTACTTTTATAACTCCTAAAAACCCTCATCACATGTCCTAGCCTAACCTCCCTACTGTAAGATATCACCAAACCTGTTCTACTTGTTACTCAGTATCTCCCCAAGGAAGTAGACCTCCTTCTTTTCTCCACTTATCAGTCTAGGGGCCAAATCCCTAGACAAGACTGGCAAATTGACTTCAATCAAATATCTCTTAACCCTTATAGATGCCTTCTCAGACTGGGTAAAAGCATTCCCCACTATGTCTGACCCACCTCATTACAATCAGAAAATGGACCTGCTTTCATATCCCAAATGACTCAACAGGTCTCCTCCACTCTGAACGTCTGCTGGATCTTATGTACCCTACCAGCCCAAACCTTCAGGCAAGGTAGAAAAAGTGAATCCCTTAATTAAGTCTCACCTAACTAAATTAACTCTCCAAAACTAAAAAAAATTTGGAGGGAGAACCCAAGATGGCGACAGAGGTAAATGCCTAACTGCAGCCTCAAACAATAATTTCAAAAATACAACTAAAATACAAAATGGACATTATCCAGAACTACAGGAAAGTTGACTGACTAGAAATTCTACAACTAGAAGGAAAGAGAAAACCAGAAGGAAAATCAGAGGAGCAGTAAAAGCCTAAGGTACGGAGACACGGGTGTGTGTGTGGAGAGGACGGAGCCAGAGAGGAGGGGCCGCTGAGTGCCTGGATGGCGTTTCCTAGCGGGAAGGCGATGAAAGCTTCCAGATGCACTGTACCCCAGTTCCAACTGCACTGAACCCCAGTTCTTGGCCAGACCCTGGGGACCCAGGCTCATATGAAGGGAGTCTGGGCCGTAAGGGCGAAACTCAGGGGAGCGGTGAAAGGCAGAGCTCTGGAGGCGTGCATGTGAATGTATGCAGAGGACAGACTGTTGACTGTGCCGCTGGATTGCCCAATCTATCTCCTACTAGGGGTGTCGAACTCAATCAGAGAAGGGGC